CCAATAATCCTCTTTTTTAATGTATATGTCAGGGGCTACCGCTAGGTAGTATTGTTATTAGAAATAATGACTAAAATATGAAAAAGAACCCAAGGGAAGAGACTTACATAAACAATTACGCTGCGAGTGTTGAAGAGCTTATGGGAAAAGTCATTGCCACAGCGCCCCCTCCCACACTCAGCCTGAACTAACATTTTATCCAGAAGATGGGGAGGAAGTGGATAGTTCCTCGGATAGTTCCTTGTTTCCCCTTCATGCGTCCACATGACCCAGGAAACCTCTAGGTATAAGTAATCAGTCTAGACTTTCTTCACCCAGAACATTTTTTTTCCCTTCTTTCTGGAGAAGATCCTCTTCAATCAAGCGAGCTTTACAAGTGTCTCTGAGTACCTTTGCTGCAGATGGATGGATCGCTAGTTTAAATTGAGAAGTTTGCATTGTTATTTAAAATGAATTGCCCAGTGTTTTGACAAGTAATTCGAAAATATGATAGTGTCGCTAGTTTTTAAATGCGTTTCAAACAGAAGAAGGAAAAAATGCATAACAAATAAGCAGGAAATCCACAAAATCCACGTGTTTTTTTTTCTTTCAAACAGCACATTTTTTTAAAAAATTATTACATATCTCTACTCTGCACCACAGTGAGTTATGTTTGGCTCAAACTCTGAACTGATGAAGTCTAATTAAAAAAAAAAAGACTCTATATCCGCAGAGCGATAAATGTGGGTATGCAAATACCTATACAGATTTCACTTACATAGCCAGTAAGAAATTCAGATTGCAACCCATTAGTACACTATTCTTGTAGTACCAGAAAGATCAAATCTGACTCCTAATTTTGTTTCCCTTCAAACTTTTCCCTCTAGTGATGTGAAGGACCTAACAACTTAAAAATGGCATTTTTCCCTCCCCCCCAGAACCAAACAAGTAAAAACTTGTCTTCCAAAGCCTTAATGGTCATGAGGTTAAAAGTCTAAATCTTATTTTCATCTGGTGTATTATTAATTACAGCCAGAGTTAACAAAGTTAAGAAGAACATTCAAAAGCAAATGCTACTTTAATCGAGGGGTAGTGCCCTGACATAGTGATTATATATTCAGATAACAATACAGTATGTAAGTTTTAATGTCTGTGTGTAGGCATTTTAATTTGCTACAGTTATTACCAATAAAAAGTGCATGTAGTACTATTCTACTGTTTAATAGTGCAAGGTAGACGATTTTTATTATTGACAAGCAGGACTAATGAAAATTTAGATTTCAATGAGGGAGCAAAATTGCTGGGGGGGAAATGCCCCGCAAACATCTTCAAATCCAGAAGCAGTGAACTACGGAGAAATAAGAGGGATATATAATGATAAATGCTAGTCTAAAGTGAGAAATAGTATTGAGTCAGTGAAATTGTCCTGTTACATTTAATTGACGTCAGCATAGACTTTATTTTCCAGAGCATATTCTCTTAATTCAAATGGGAAGTGTTTCTATAATAATTCAGGGTTCTCTCTTCTTCCAATGGCAGAGATCATGCCTTTCTGAAGCCATACAAAACATGCAAATCAAACCAAAGCAGGAACTTGTCTTTTGAAATGGAAATATCATACTCCATTAATCTCTTATGGCAAAAATTAGCCCTTTTTTGCATTTAAGTTATTATTTTTGGAAATGAGCCAAAACATACTACTAATCTAATATATTATTTGTATTTGTTAACTATTCTGGTTTTTTTTTCCATTTTCAGCATTTTGTCAGAGGATTTTTTTTTCGCCAAGAAATGCAAAAAAAAAATAAAAAGAAAGTAATAAATCCCTTTAATTGTGAACTATATATGGCAAACAGGGCATGCTTTCCTTCTATGTGTAATAATTTACCCCAAGTGTCTTCTCTGAACTCAATTACAGAGTATAAGCATGGGATCCCGGTATTTGTTTAAAGCTCTCTCCCCGGGTCATAACTGTAGCATTCATTTAATAGTATTAATCCCCTGTTATAATGTAAACAAAACGACCGCTGTATTCCCAAACTGAATTGCACCACTAATTATTAAACAGGAGGCACTAAAAGCAATCCATTCTCCTAGACAAATACTTACCTACATCACCTATGCTGGGGGGTGGGGGCGGGAGAAAGGACGTCCTTTCCTAAATTTAAAAAAAAAATGCGAAAGCAAAACTGCAGTTTGCAACTTGTTCAGTCTGACTGAGGGGGGAAAAATCAAGTTTGACTTTATGATGTGATAATTAATATTGCATTCCCCAACCCCCAGCTGCTGCAGCTGTAAAGCACACCACCAAACGCATAAAAGTCAGTATGAGAAACACAGCAATGTTCTATTCAGATGCAACCGCCTGATATCGATTATTTCATATAACTTTTTAAATATGAATGTGCATTATAAAAGCTCTGGAGTTTGTGGGTCCTGTTTCCTTGTGCACTCAGAATATACATACATATCTCCACGAGTAGCCAAATAGTGAGGTGAGGGAGGGGGAGAGGGAAAATGAAGGAAAGATGCATAAGAGCCTTTTTCTGCAAACCACTAGGACGTGTTGGCCGTTTATTTAGTCTAACTTTCTCTCATATTTGAGCTCTTTAAGAGTATAGGTCTCGAATTAATGAAGAATACCTGTTGGTGTGAGACCCTCACCCCTCACCCCTCCTCTAAGGATTGCCTCTCCTACAGGCCATCTGATAGATGTGTACATTAATGAACTCTCTGTCTGGTAGCCAGATTTCTTCTTTCTCTACCAATGCTGAGAAAAGTGGAGAGAAGGTACAGGGCTGGGGTCGGAATAGGTGGAGAAGGGATGTGGTTCTATGAAGAACAAAAATCACTTTGGGCTACAATATTGTCTGTAACTGAACCTTAGTGGAGACTCATCTGGTTAACTGTAATATCTTCGGGTTCTAAAAAAGCAACCCCCTCTATTAGGAAGGTCATTAAACCCTGCCATTCCACCGGTATCGTTTTATTAGAGTTGTGTATAATGGATTAAAAATAAACTACCTTTGCTAACTAACAAATTTGTCAGATGTTTCCATCATAAGTTCCTGTCGGCTCCTAATAAATTCCCCAAAGTTCCTTGATTTGATTTATTGCGAGGTTTTTTTTTTTGGTCAAGCTAATCATAATTATCCAGAGTATTTGCACAAATAGACAAATACCTACGCTGCCCGTACACTTTTTTTAAAAAAGGCGTTTTGCTTGGTAAAATAGAGGGAAATACTCCCTAGCCAAAGTATCGAAGAAGAGACTTATTGATTCATTAGAACACACACACACACACACACACACACACACACACACACACACACACACGGTAAATGCTAACTTAAAACAACACATGGGCTAAATTCTAGACTTTAATTTTCTGCATAAATGGAATGAGACTACTTTTTTGAAAGCTCTTAAACAGTTCATTAAAACCTTAGAGTTTAAATAAATACTTGGGAATGTAACTGGGGATTTAGAACCTAGAGTGATAAATTAGGGGCCTCCATGGAAGCGGTGAATACATTACAAGGAGGGAAGGCTTGGGAGTGTGGAGAAGAGAGACGAGAACCGGGGAAACATCCATGGCTTGTACATGCAAGGGTGGAATACACAGCTATGCATTCTTCACCACAGTGAAAGCTTGGAAAGAAATAGATTTAATATCCATCAGGTTAATATTCAAATAAAAGGAAAACGGCTAGTCAGAAGTGGGAGCACAAAGTGAAAAGCAAAGCGTGCATCTGCTGCAATCTGGAGAAGTTAAATATAAAACACTGGAAGTCACCCCCCTTGTTAAGCAAATTAAAAAAAAATACTGGTCCAAACGCAATTAACCACATCCTCTCAGCAGCCTACTCCCACAAGTGAATTCTCCTCAATCAGGTTACTCTAGATTAGAACCTAGGGATGTCCGTCCCATAGTCCGTCAAGAACACAGAGATTCCTTGCCTTTCTACCCTCTTCGCTTTTCCACAGGTAAGAGAATAATTATGTGCTAAATATTTTAATTGATCTTCCTTGAAACTGAATTACTTCGCAGTCACCTGGGCCTTCTTTCAAAGCTCTGCAAATAAACTCGGAAGTGCCCTGAATAAAAAATCTTAAAACTAGAATTCCTTATGACTAATTAAGAAAATCCTTCCATATTTGAATGGCGTTGGGACAGTAGTTACGCCTCAAAGTGGAATTAGAAAGTTGGGCTACAGCTACCGTGAGGCGGGGGGAAAGGGAAGAAAAATCCCCCGACTGTTTTTGTCAACACGCAAGGACAGGCCGAGTTTCTACCCCTTCCCCCTTTTATCCTAAACTGTGACAATATAAGGGCGCGCGCGCCGAGAGAGGGAGGGAGGGAAAGAGAGAGGGAGGGAAAGGGGAGAGAGAGAGAGGGACACAGAGAGGGAGGGGGAGACAGACAGACACAGACAGACAGAAGGAGAGAGGGGTGTGTGTGTGTGTGTGTGTGTGTGTGTGTGTGTGTGTGTGTGTGTCGCGCGCAACCGAGCGCAGGAGTCCGGAGTGGCTGGCTGTTCAGCAGTATCATCCCTTGGCTTCAGCAGTGTGTTCCCTGGCAGACAGAGAGGGTGGCTTGCATTACAAAAGCCTGCGCTTCCCTCCCTCCCCTGTCTGTGAGAGGCGAAGGCGAGAGGAGGAGGAGGGGGGCGGGTCCGTCTGAATATGCAGATAAGCCGCCGTGACGGACAGCTCCGTTTTCCAATGTCCCTCAGAAACTCGAGCGCTCCTTCCCTCAACTCTTCAGTTCAGACTCTCTATACTTCCCCCAAAATACAGACTTGCAGGCGCTGGGGGAGCTGGCTGTGGCTGAGAAAGAGCTCCATATGCAGCAGCAGCCGCAGCCGCAGCCGCAGCCGCAGCCACTTTCCTGATTCCGGGGGCTCTTTCTCCTTCTCGCCCTTTCTTCCACTCTCTCTTTCCGTCTTTCTTTCTGTCTTTTTCTTTTAATCCCCTTCTCCCCCCCTTCCCCCCTCCCTTCCTCCCCCCCTCCCCCCCTCACTCTCACTTCTCCAGATGCACTTCTCGTCCTGGTTAGTTTTCTGATCAGATTGATTTATTTCTACTTTCTGCCCTTCATCTTCTTCTCTCCCCCACCCCCACCCACCCCCACTCTTATTCCCTGCTGATCATTCTTCTTATTTTCTCTTGGGTGGGTGGATGGGGGGGGACATATAACAATTCTTAATTCTCTGCATAACTATATACAGACCGAGCCAACAGGGGAAAGGTAAGAGAGGGAGCAAGCAGCAGCAGCAGCCGCCGCGGCAGAAGCAGAGCCAGGGCCGGTGACCCCCTCGCCCCCTCCCTGCTCCTGTGCACGCCTAAGCCATGTCTTATCCTCAGGGTTACCTCTACCAGCCCCCCGGTTCTCTGGCTCTTTATTCTTGCCCAGCTTACGGGGCTTCGGCGCTGGCGGCGCCAAGGAGCGAGGAGCTGGCCAGGTCTTCTTCAGGCTCGGCGTTCAGTCCGTACCCTGGATCTGCGGCTTTCACCGCGCAGGCTGCGACCGGCTTCACCAGCCCACTTCAGTACTCTACAGACCCCGCCACGGGATTCCCTTCCTACATGGTAACTACTGCGGAGATGCCTCGGCCTTTCCCCGCATTTTCTCTTCCTCTTCCTCGTCCTGGTTCATTACTTGCTGCTTTTACCCTCATTTTCATCCCCATCCTCATCTCTGTCCAGTATCAGATGATCTACAGACGCTATTTACCTTACAAAGACCACAATCGTAAGGTAACGCAGGAGACAGAGAGAGAGAGAGAGAGAGAGAGAGAGAGAGAGGAGAGAGAGAGAGAGAGAGAGAGAGAGAGAGAGAGAGAGAGAGACTGCTTATTAGTTTCAAGCGTCAGCTTTAAGGGCGAGCAGAAAAAATAACAGAAGAGGAGATGGGTAGATTATGCTTTTACTTCGCTTCTCAGGTCGGAAGTCATCTGCCAACGCTCAGACCTTCCCCTTTAATCCACTCTACTTTCCTGCACTAAGTTCATTCTTTCATTTTATTGTATAAAAGAATATAGATTGAGCAATTAAGTGCACTCTGGATGTTGGAGAGTTTGTGTGTGTGTGTGTGTGAGTGTGTGGGTGTGTTTGCATATGAGAGAGAGAGCGAGAGAGAGAGAGAGAGAGAGAGAGAGAGAGAGCGAGAGAGCGTTTGTGTATGTATGTATGTTTTTAGTCCGCTGCTGAGCGGACCTTAGGGTCGTCCTCCCCGTGCGGTTTTTATTTACTTTCAATGCTTTTGTGCTAATGGTCTAACTGGATTTTAAGGGATGAAAAGGCGCATCTGTTTGCTATCTGTGTGCTCCGCTCCCACACAAGACCGTTGAGGAGTCTGCAGCTTCAGATTTCACTGTTGACATGGCAATCCTTTTTAAAAAGAAAGAAAAAAAATAAATAAAATCTCTAATATAAGGGATGTTTTCAGAATTTGTTTTTGTCTTTATCTCCCTGCCTAATTGTACAACCTTATTCTTTTAAAAATACTTGAGATAAATTGTATTACCATCTATCTTGATACGAAATCAATCCCTCCTTGGACTTTCTGGTTCTGCAACTGTGGTGGCTAAGTCCCGGGAAGTTGAAAAGTATTTCTGGCTATTAAGGCCATTAAGTAAAATTGCGATTGTTATTCGCCACACCCTCAGTGGAATTCCTAGATGTGCTGACAAGTTATCAAGTTCCACTACAATATCTGCAACTTTCTAGAATTCGGAACGTTTAAATAACCGCAATTTAAACGTTAAAGGGCGAGTTAAAATGCTAATTACATCACATTTGAACAATTTGAAACGGTGCATATCTTCTGATTTGCAAATTGGATTTGCAATGCATTAGTGCAGTGAATTGCTAAGTGGTGGCTTTGTTGTGTTTTTCTATGGCTAAAAGGGGGGGTGAGAAAGTACTGTGGGGTGAAGCATCATTTGAACCTTGGAGTGAAATTTAGATATCAAGAAACTACCTGTAGGCTTACTGCCCTCCCCAAGGCTGTGTGATTCGAAAGTGATTTGGGGAACGTATTTAATTTCAAGAAAGTGAAATGTCTGGAGATAGGCATTTTTCGATGACTAAAAATGCAACCGTTGGCCATTTGGGCTGGGTGTGGGGGTCAGTTTTCGATACTGAAATATGAATTGGAGATTAGAAATCTAAGAGAAAATTGAGATCACTTCCGCCTTTTAAAAAAATATTTACTAATAACCATAACAAATTGCTCACTCCCTACGGTTTTCTCTTCCAGGGCTCACCTTATGATGCTCATACGACAGGCATGACGGGGGCTATCAGCTACCATCCTTATGGCAGTCCCGCTTATCCTTATCAGCTGAATGACCCGGCTTACAGAAAAAATGCCACCCGAGATGCCACCGCCACCCTGAAGGCCTGGCTGCAAGAGCATCGCAAAAACCCTTACCCCACTAAAGGGGAGAAGATTATGCTGGCCATCATCACCAAGATGACCCTCACCCAAGTTTCCACCTGGTTCGCCAACGCCCGCCGGAGACTCAAGAAGGAGAATAAGATGACCTGGGCTCCCCGGAACAAAAGCGAAGACGAGGACGAAGACGAAGGGGACGGGGCCAGAAGTAAAGAAGAAAATTCAGACAAGGTGCAGGAGAGCAACGAAACGTCAGCTGAGGACGAAGGTCAGTAAGTCAGAGTAGAGCTCTCTCCCGCTCAGAGGTTCGGGAAAGTCCGACATTCCTGGAGGTTGTGTGGAGGGAGTGTGTACTGGAGTACTCCAAACTGTGAAGTTGTTTCTGCAGTTATTCCAATCCAAAGGGTGAAAATAGTTGAGTGTTTTGGTTTTTTTTTTGGGGGGGGGCCTACCTACACACCATCTTCTTTACCCCGCCCTCACTCTTCCCATCTTGGCAATTTTAAACCACACAGATAAGAGTCTTTACCTTTAACAGATAATATTGACGCGCTTGGGTTTTCTACTGCCGAGACGGGCACTTAAGGGTATTTCATTTGGTTTATAAGGCCAACCACCCTTCAGCACGTGGCAGCCCTTGGGAGAAGGAGGGGGGTGGTCTGTGTGTCGGGGGGAGGGTTATGTGTATCACTGTTGTTCAAAGCAGACCGGCCTGTTTACAAGTAATGTTGTGCAGCTGTGGGGGGAGCAGTCCGGTGCGTGTGAGCTCTCTCCCTTTAGACATCATGGTGTAAATAACTGACTGCCCTTGTTTTGTCTGGCCCTGGCTCTTCTCAGGGATCAGCTTGCACGTCGATTCGCTTACAGACCACTCCTGTTCAGCCGAGTCAGACGGAGAGAAGTTGCCCTGCAGGGCAGGAGACACCCTGTGCGAGTCGGGCTCCGAGTCGAAGGACAAGTACGATGACATCGAGGATGACGACGAGGAGGACGAGGAAGGGGACCGAGACCTCCCCCCGACGAAGCCGGTGACCTCCTCGCCCCTCACGGGCGTGGAAGCTCCTCTCTTGAGCCACCCCCACGAAGACGCTTCCCGGAACTCCAACAAAACGACTTTGGATAATAGGATTTCCCCGAGCTCCCAAACCCAGGCCATCAAACCCAAGCTGTGGTCTCTTGCAGAAATCGCCACCTCGGACCTTAAGCATCAGAGCATGGGGCAAAGCTGTCCCCCACCTGCTTTGACTTCGGCTACCCCTTCCTCCACGTCCCACACTAGTTCGGCTTATTCCCCTTCTTCCCTCCTCGGAAGACATATTTATTACACTTCGCCCTTTTACAGCAACTACACAAACTATGGAAACTTTAACGCTCTTCAGAGCCAGGGGATCCTGAGGTATAACTCAGCAGCAGTGGCTTCAAACGAGGGATTGAGTCAGACTGTGTTAAATACTAGCTCTGTTCCCAAGCAGAGCAGTGACTCTTTGAAAACGAGCACTAACCAGCTGGAGCCACATTACAGGCCCTCTAGTTATGAGCCTAAGAAAGGTAGGTGAATGATTGCTTCTTTCTTTTCCTGCTAAAGGCAAAATAACTTCTGGAGAAAAATACATACACAAGCTCTTCCTTAGTTAAAGAACGCTAACATAAAGAGTGTGTGTGTGTGTGTGTGTGTTGGGGGATTTGGGGTGGGAAAGGGAGGAAGGACCAAAGCAGATTGAGATCTGTGGTCCTGTGAAATGAGGTCACATAAAGGAACCTCTCCTCCTAAGGGTGGGAAAGAAAACTGGTAAGATTCACCATTCATTTGATCTTAAAGATTGTTTTAAAAGGTGTGCATTTTCAAATCTCTCACCAGATCTGGTTGAAATAAGAAAATGAAAATATTCTCAGCCTGTTTTCTGAAATCACCTCAGCTGTTTTTTGCAAGTTCCAGGGGTGACAAGTTAGAACGAAATGCAAATTAAACTTAGAGCCCCTGGGCAGTCACTGTTTTACATTTAGCCTTTTGTGTGTTTTGATTGGTAAAAACAGAATCGTTCTGGCTTTCCACTGACTAGTTTAAGATCATTTTCTGCTCTAGTTTTGTCCTGAAGGAGATAAACAATAATACTTACTCTCAGAAACCTGGAGGAAACGAACCTTTAAACTTTAAAACAAAACGAAACAAAAACAAAAACCTCTTCCCTTCTCTCCTTTTATAACTAAATCGTCTTCCTTTCTCTCCTCTTTTTCCCATCTCCCATCTATTCAGAAACCTTAGAATAAGTGTCTTGGACTTTCTTTTTCTTTTTCTTTTTTAACGGACTTTAAGAGAAAAATGAAATTTGGAAGACGTTGAAATTTACTCAAACTTTCAAGGTGATTTTAATGATAAGATAGAGCAGTCTTCCAAACTGCATAAGTCTGTATCTGGAGCGACTGTGAGATTTGGTATACACTGTATAATCTAGTTAGCTGGCTGTGTCCTGTGACTAACTGACAGTTCTATTTTGACAGATTCCACTGAAGTCTGCACAGTAGGAGTACAACCCTACCTATAGAAGTGCAATCAGACAGAATGTGAGTAAGTGGGAACATTTTCTATTACACTGATCATTTGGGATCTGATCCAAGACATATTGCGCAGCTGTAAACTTGCTTAATGTTTATTTCTTGCTTCATTACATGGAGTTTGATTGCAAAGTATTATGCTCTTTTCTGGTATTCTTTCCCCCACTTAGGAGAGGGGAGAGTCACTATAGATTTCCTTTATTTTTCCAATTCTATTTGAAGGATCACATCCTTCAACAGCAAAAAAAATGTATATGTGTAATATGCACATGCAAACAATTTTTTATTTAAAAAATGTATTAATTGCAACTGTGGTTTTACTTTACATCCTTAAAATGACAAGGGATTCATTAATTATTTAAAATCCACATAATTTTCATAAAATCCTAAAAATAAGCATGGCTGGTTTGATTAGAGAAGCATTGCTGAAACTTCCCATATCAAGTAACTTTTATAGATGATAGTTACATAGTAAAACTGAAGAAAACCCAGGAATAAGGTTTCAGTGAGCATATCCAGGAATGTGTCCAGATGGAGTAGATATTATATTGTATGTTACCTTATTCATAGCAGCATCTAAAAAAAATATTCTATGTTTGCCTGAATGATAGACAATAGTTTTTATGTTTGGAGTCTTTTATGAAGAAAACAAAGAGGATGAAACTTTTTTAGAATGCCTATTTTTTTTTCTAATTTAACGGTACAAGTTGTAACTGAAGGATTTTGGATGATTTGGTTTTTTCCTTGGTCCACAGGTAGGTGTCACAATTGCTTTGAAAAAAAGTCAGCAAGCCATCATCTCTCCCTGAGCTAATATATAGAACAAATCTCTAAATCTGGAATCACATCTTGTGCCACTGTATAAAAGAAGAACCCACAGAGCACTATTAAATCTACAGACTCTAATTCTTAAAAACAGAATTTTGTTGGACATATGTGAGTTTGTTGGTCTAGTATAGTTTCCCCAATGTATGTGTGACTTTTGAAAACAATCTGTTTTTCTCAGGATATCTTGAATTGATCACTTCATTGCCACGGTATATATTCTCTAGGTGTGATAGGATTTACTGTAAAATTTATTTGTAAAAGATGTACACAGTAGAGATAATAAAATGTGATTGAAGAACTTGAGTACTTAAAAAAGTGGAAACAAATTTGATATTTATTTTTGTAATGATATAAAGCTTCTAGTAATTTATGCAAGTTGTATTGCAATGGAATCCGATCTTTTTGTAAATAAATTCTGCCTGGTTTTTATTTGAAACGTTGATGGTTATACAATCTTTGTTGGTTGTCTAACAAGAATTCTTTACTAATTTATATCTTTAATTGTAAATAAAAACAGACTAGTCTGCAACTATGGTGTTTTGGGTTCATTTTTCCTAAAAGAATAATTTGGTTGAGACAGCAGTGATGAAATTGACTACAGAAGTCACTGCATTTTATATTTTTTGCTATTCTAGATAAAGTATGGGGTTTAAACTTGACCCTTACAAAAATGCTTTTTGGTAGATGAACCACATATATACATATTGTATATATTTAATATGTATACACAAATTTATTGCCAGTGAAAGAATATGGAGTAATTTTTAGTCATATAAATTCCATTCCCCCAGCATAAAAGAGTGTTCTTTCTTCTTGGTATTATAAAGGTGATTATTTTTTTAAAAAATATCTTTCCTATGATTGATCATAGAATCACAACGTATTTATTTCTGGTTCAAGCTTACATTTTATCTCCTAGGTAAACAAAATTGGGAGAAGAGACAATAATCTTGATAATCTAGGCTCATACACAAGGAAATAAAAGCAACTGAGGGGAAAAATGTTTTTTAAGCCTAAATTGTCCAAAGTGGTTATCTCCATTAATCACATTCCCTAGATAATTGCTTAACTCTTTTTTTTAATCTGTCCACATAGACAGAGTATAAGAATCTTGCAGAAGTGTAAAATTGTCTATTCAATAACTCTCCCCACTCCCACTCCCTCCCCTCCCCCTTTAACCCTCAAAAGTTAAAACAACTTGATCTTTTGCCCCCCCCCTTTTTGTGTACCACATTCCAAATCATATAAACCATATCTGAAATTTGTAGTCAAGTAACATATTTTCCTAGATTAGAATCATAAAGGAACCAAATATATCACTTTAATTTTCAGCAAAATTATATGAATCTCAATATAATATAATTTCAGAAAAGAAATGAACAATCATTTATTTCTTCCCCAAAGATAAATTGAGTGAATATAACTTACGGTTATAAAACAAGAATAATGGCTTCTTAGATTGCCCTTTAATCAATCATACACTTATTTTTCAAGAGGCTCATCTATATTTTATTCCATGATTAATAATGTTCCAGCGTGAGAGCATTATTGGATCCCAGCGGGGGAGATCCTAGATGCTTTTAGCTGCTTTGGAATGGTCAGTTGGGGTTCATTATGGGCTGATATTGAACAATTTATAAAATCTTGTCTAAACATCTGCCAGCTCAGATAGGCCGACGTGTCTGAAGATGGGAAATTGCTGGACCAGTTGATATTGACAAACGGATCTCTCTCCAGTGGCTTTTTGTTCAGTGAAAATTAGTGGCCTCTTGCTCAGGTCTTGTTAGAAAGGGGCATTTGAAAGTGATCTTAGATACTTCAGGCATCAGCCTGGGGAATGTTAACTGGATAAAGAGCCATTCTAGTCATGAGTTAGAAAAATATATTTTGTTTGTGCAAAGAAGAAAGGCTGGGTTTTTCTTTCCTTATTTCCTTCTCTTTTTTCTTATCCCTTGTTATGTTATTTATTAGATTAAAAAATGTTATTATTTGGGGAAAAGACAATTAAGTTGATCTTTTAGAAGGAGGAAGAAAAACAGACTCCTTTTTTCATACTTAGTGACAGAGAAATGGAAATGATTTAGTGTGGTCTGTGCATTGGAGAAGAAAGATCTTCACATGGAAAGCAAGGCTTCTTTCATAAACCCCTGATGGGTACTGTCTTTCTGTAAAAGTTGTTGTGATTTGAACCACAAAAAGAATCAGTTTCTTGCTTTTTAACCTACAATCTTTTGGTATAGGGGGTGGGGTGGGGTGGGGAATAAGGCATTGACTCTCAGAGTACAGCGGATATTTTGGTTTTTATCTCTGAACTTCAGTAGCTTTCTGAGAAGAATTAATTTCCTCCCCCCACTCCCAGCACTTTCTCACTAAATAATTGGATACTGAATTTTATTCTTGTGATACAAATTTAATAAATGGCTACAGGATTAAAATTATTGGCATTGTCGCAATTTTATATATAGAAATAGTAATAAAATATTTTCCCAAATTCAGCTTCTACCTTAGAAATTTTCCAATATCAAATTTGTTATGAAATATTGTTCCCCTCCCTTCCCCACCTCAAAGCTAGAAATCCTGTAGGCAATATCTCACCTTAGCCATATAGTGCCAAATGTATTTTAAAAAAATCCTTCTTAGTTTTAACTTAGAAATTAAAGCCTCTCCTTATTACCCACACCCTATTTGGAAAAATACTTTTCCCTCCTTTGCTCTCCTGCCTGTGTATACACATGTTTCCAGGTTCTCTTGCACATTTCAATTCCTGAAAACCAAAAGCAAGGTTAGAGATTAGGAAAGGTCAATATACTTATTTGATGTTTATATACCCAAAGAATTATAAAAGATTTCTATAATTTACCTATTCTTGCTAGCAGTTAGACCTGGATTTCTTTCTGGAAAGGAAAGTAGAAAGAATTGGAGAACTTGCCTATAAATACACACTGGAAATGTAAAACATAAAGAGTGTTTTTTTAAAATCACTTCCTCTGAGAAATTAATGTGATTTATGAAATCTAGATTAGGCAAATAATCTAGAAAGGGGGGAAAGAAAAGAAATAAAGAGGGAGAGGCAGAAAAAGCATTTGAGAAGTTAATTGATATGACTGTTTTTATTCTCTCTTGGTCTTAATCACAGAAATTAAGAGACAGAGAGAAGCATCAGTGTTTGCAGTTGTTGGAGGTGGGAAGTGATTAATCCAGAAAGGAGAAATGAAGACGTGTGGACCATAAAGAAAAAAAAAAACACTTTTATATACATTTTGTTTCCTATGTATGCTAACCCACCCGCTGAGGATTAAGACCTCAAGCCCCTTTCTTCCTTTCTCTTCCCAACTTTCCTCCCCAACCCTTTGCACTAAGAGTGCCTGTCTTTGGAACTGCCAAGATAAACCCTCTCATCTCCAGGGCCAGAGGTTTCATTAGAGCTGATATATCGAAATTCAAGCTTTAATCTCAGGTGGGATCCCTGGGGAACTGGAGCTGTTGTCAAATAGGACCAGAGGCGCTTTCCACTTCGGCCGGCTCAGGCTGTGCCTTTCCTTGCTCCCTTCAAATGTCAACATTTGTTCTCAATAAAAGAGTTATTGTTTCTGTAAAGCTGCTCACCAACTGCCTTTGAAACTTGAAAAGAACTTTATCCACCTTTGTCTGATTGGAGCTGGGAAAGGGAGAGGAAGGGAAGACCAGAGACAGACTGAGTTCTGCACTGCTGTGGAAAGCAGACTCAGCCCTGGTGTAGCTCAGCTACGATACTGGGGCTGGAGGCACGCAGTTGATTCTAGTACATACCTGCACAGTTGAAAAGTGAGACATCTCTTTATTCTGGAGAATTAAAACAAGGGTCTGGAATAGCCTCACTTTTTTTCTCCCTCTTCATCATATTTGTGTATCAGATAGGTGGAGACTTTCCTAACAAGAAAGAAGAAAGTGCAATTAGTTGTTCTTTAATGTTCATGTTTCTTCAAAGAAATTGGATGTTTTAGAGGAACAATTTCTATATATAGAAAATAAAGTGTGTCCTTTGTTATTTCTGTTTTTGAACAACGAAGACTAAACCTGCAATTACCAGTGTTATATTTTAACAACATTTGATATATGTTACCAGTATTTTTTTTTTCAAAATCAGAATTAATTTCAATCAAACAATCTTACAAGAGGGGTATGCAAGAGTTAAAGCCATTCTGATTTTTAAATTTACAGGCACACCCAAATTCAAGCTTGAAAAGTCTTAGACTCCATCATTGCCAAACAAATAGGTTGATTTCTATAAAGACAAATATGTCTTGTTTTCAAAAATCCTAAGTGTCCTAGAATGATTCAAAGAAAATGCTTTATTGACTCTAGATTAAGAATGCTATAAACGGACTCTATTCCATTCCTCCTGGAGTTCAGAAGTGCTCCTCTGGAGACTTAGCATGCTCAGTATGGAGAAATCCAGTGAAATATGAGTCTAGGAGATATTTTAAGGTGCCTTTGTGTATACTGAATACAGTATGTAAGTGTTATGATTATCATCATTTGAATTTTTCCCAATTGAAAAAAGTATTTAATTTTTTTCAAATCTTTGTAGTAGTGACAATCCTGGTTGGGGGGGTGTATTCTCCCTCCCTTCCCCCTTATAGGAGAAAGAAATTTCTAAGCAATATAAATGGATGGTTCATAGACATCTCTTTCTCTTGTCATGTCTTCCTATCCACTTTATGTTGCATATTACATCTATAGTAGATAAAAACATTTTCTTGGAACTTGACTATTGGAGAGAGTCTGAAAACCTTTAATCTCCTTTTTTGGTTATAAAAGCCAACTGCACTATGGTATGTACTGCTGTAGACAACAGCTTCTGCTAACTGAGGAAGCGGTTCTGACAGCTCCAGTTTTGGAGTCTGGACCAGGTATCTATCTCTTGGTCAACCTTGCTTCTCCTTACCTTCTGTCCTACTGGAATGACTGAAGAATAGATAGATGTTTTTGGTTATCTAAAGGGCAAGAAATCCTGTGTCTTTCTAAGGAAAAAATATATGTACTCAATATATCTCATTGAACTGGATGATGACCCTGATTTAGTGAATTGAAATTGGTTAAGATACACTTTTTCAGTGATTTTTTTTGCCTTTTATTTTTTTTTCTTTCAAATCTGATAGGGCAAATAGTTGAAAGTGTGTGTGTGTAGGATTGTTTTCCTCCACGTTTTCATTCTGACACTCAAGAATGGATTTTAAAAGGTGGATGTCAGGAATTGTGGGGTTGTTGGATAAATTTAGGAAAAAAAATGGTTCTTTATTATTATTTTACAAAATTTGAAGCTAGTCTTACAAATGTGAGCATGTTTCCACCCATTTTACACCAAAGCCCACACAGTGGCATGCCTTTGTAGAAAGATAAATTGACAATTTATTGTGCATAACTTCTGATCAATTATTAATCATTAGTGTCAAAAACAAAGTTTTAATTACCTTCATCTATTTTGGGGGATATTTATTTTTTCCCCTCCCTGATCTGATAATTAGTTAATGCTCTGGTGTAATGATTTGATCCCAGTGTAGATTGCACTCCTCAAGACTACTTTCCCCTAGCCTTTAAGCAACCAAACAAATTCACAGACCAAACCTTCGCTCCTTCAGGTCGTGCAGAGCTCTCCCTTTCATTCTAGCAGCGCTCCCCCCCCCCCTTTCTCTTCCACCATAAATTATGATTTCAGAGGAAAAGGGAAAAATGACAAACAAATAGACCACAGCTGGAATTAATAAGGCTGATCAAAGTTAGTGGGGCTGGAACTGCTCAGAGCAGCAGCAGGTCTGAGCCCCATAAAGGTGCCAGCAGCTTTTGCTTTTTTTTTTTTCTTTCTCTCTTCAAGATCAAGAGAAAGGGCAAAGTGAACATTTTAACCTCTGACATCTTCTTGCAGGAGAAAAGAAAGTGGGGGGTGATTTTAGGCCATCCCTAATACCTTCAAGATCATTTAAGTATGAGTAGTTGAAGATGAGGGAACTAGAGCTCTCAGGTGCCCTTTCCCAGACTCAGGAGGAAGGTAAGAGAAAGGTTTGTAGAAGGGAAACTGCCAGTTTTAATGTCTGTGAATCTTTCTACCTGACCTCTTCTTTGAAGGGAGTATCGATATGAGTTTAAAAAAAATGAAGTTCCTTCATGTTGAAAGGTTAAAGTTAATAGGTGATGTAAATAAGTAAACACGTTTATTGTGCCACTAATGCTCCCTTGAAACAACTCTGAAGTAGAGAAAAACTTTTGAATTGGGGCTATCCAGCATATGGTGGAGTGGAGTGATATAGGGAGAAATTAGTATTATGCTGGAAAACATACCTTTCAATGTGAATAATTAAGACTTTCTGCAGTAAACCGCTTCCACCCATATATCTTAATAACTAGAAAGACCCTTTTTATGAAGGTTAATTAGCTGGAAAGTACTAACAGTGTGAAGACAGGAATAATCACCGACTCACATTATTCCCCAAGATTTTAGGTGACTGTTTAATATATCAGGCCAAAGATAAATGTAAGAATAACACATGTTAACTATTTAGCTCCCCAACGCAAACAGTTTGCTCAGCTCTTTAAATTCTTAAACACACCTCCTCCACTTTAACGTTGTTTGGCATAAGCCCGTTAATTTAATTAAACCCCAGGTTTGTGACAGCTAATCCCAAACACCAGTTCAAAGCACGTATATTTTTTACTCTAGCAATTAAAATCCCTTCTTCGGTGAAACTGTTCTCTTTTCTCCAGTCCCCTCCTCCTCTTTCTGTTCCACCTCCTACCCACAACCTCCCAATCCCAGCCTCCCAATGCAAACGGAATTGCAGTTCAGGATGCAGGTTAGAAACTGAATCCGGTTTGACAGCTTTGACATCACACAGCTCCATTTTCTGAAAGTCTGTTCACCAACTTAGCGCAACTCCCAGACTGTATGTTTTAATTTGTCACATCAAGGCAATAAAAGGCAGCAATATATACTTAAGCCAGTTAACATAGTAATAACAGGTTAAAGGGAGCAATTAAATGGTAGTGAGTCGCATGTCTGATTTTCTATAGGCATTACCACATCAATAGTACCTTTAGACTGACTATAACTTAGCATGATTGTCTCAATTAGTTTAGCTACATGATAGTTATTGGGGAAGCTTTGTGAGTAATCAATGTTACGCAATCTTATAGATACGAGTCTGGCATGTGAAAGAAGGAAAGGGGAGAAAAGGAAGAAAGGAGAGAGAGAGAGAGAGAGAGAGAGAGAGAGAGAGAGAGAGAGAGAGAGAGAGAGAGAGAGAGAGAGAGAGAGAGAGAGAGAAACTGACTACCCCTACAAACATTTAAATGACGAGTCGCTGTAACGCGACTGGCTTTTAATAAAGATTGTTCAAAGAGTTTATTATTCTTATTCCTCAGTCTCCGAACTGCAGATAACCTTAACCTTGTGGGACATTCCCACTGAGTCCTACGTGAGCACGTAGGCCAGATCAAGTAGCTAACATCACCACCCACCTAAAGCTTCGCATAATGTAATTTTTAACTAGAAGAGGTGTAAATCTTTGCTCACCTACACAAGCATCCATTACGGGCACACACTGGCATGTGTGGCTATAAACGTCATAATGCGTAGAGCGAGCCCTTCTTTAAACCTGCCCGTCCCGTTGCAACTCACTAGTGTTTCTCTACTCCAGTGCTTCTGGCGCTAAATAGCAAACCCCAGGTGCTGCTAAAGCAGCCACAGACAACGCAGAGTTTTAGCTGGGAAGTATACGCAAGGCTTTGCAGTAGTAACGCGTTTGTAATATTTTCTGACTGGGGAAAGAGAGAGTGCACCATTAAATTTTAAGATAAACAAGAGTCAGGAAAATATCTGTTGTGGAAGTTATTCTCATTAGTCCTAACAATGCCTCACCATTAGACAGGGCTTGGAGTCAGCCTATGCCTCCAGATTTCTGATCTGCAAGTTTTTTTTTTTTTTTTGCATGCACATTACATTTCTGTCATGCTTTGCAGCAGAACACGATATCCCCAAAGAACCCAAAGAGAAAAAAAAATACCCTGACAGCAACCATTAGTTAAGAGTGCAATGAATAAACCCCTCGCACAAGAGTATCAGGACTAATTAAGATTCTGTTTAGCAGCCCTGGATGGAATGTTAATGTAGCTTTGACTAACTGGGAATAAGCAGGGGGGGAAAACTGCATTTTAAGAGGAATGCTGGGGTGATAACATCTCTCACTTCTTCTGTCCAAGGTCTGCCCAAGCCTGTTACAAAGTCATTATCTCAAATTACTCCTGTATTTCATTTTTAGAGGTTTTTGGGCAAGCATAGATCCCCTGGCATTGAAGCACTGCCTTGAGCCTTACAAAGCCAATACTCTCTAAGGGGATAAAGACTGAATCAACCCACTATCTCTACCTTGGAGAGTTTGCTGGTACCAGTTCCTTGGACAAATATAGCCAGAATTCAGAAGACAGATTAGAATCTATTGCTGGCGTCTCAACACAAATCCCTAAAGGCTTTTTGACCCTTTGAAGTTTCTTCCATTTTGCTTACACAGAAGTTTACATGATTAAGTCAGGGTTTTACAAGGCTCAACAAGGCAAATTTAGTCACCTCGGAACACTCAACATTTCTCCCCCCACACTCCCATCCCCTCCACCTCTCCCGCCCTTCCTAAAGAATCCAGTTGTCCTGTTAACTAATTTAGGTAAAGGCACGCTCCAGGATGCCCTGAACGTCGTGAACTAGTAGCCAGATATAGAAGGCTGCCGAAAGCTCGCCGGCAGCGTTTTCTGGGGCCGAGTTCAGTTCATCATTAGCTGAGACACCAATTGAAATGAATCGGCTGGCATCGAGCACGGCCCTGGCTTTCAGAGCACTCTCTCACCCTCAGAGCTACTTTATAAAGTGGCTCTGCAGGGGTGGAGGTCGCTTTCTTGCTGGTTCTCCATCTAACTAGAGTGCATTACACGCCCCCTCCCCTTCCCCGCCAAGGCCCCCGCAACCAGCTCCACCTTCCAGCTGCTAGCTCTCTCCCCTTTTCCCCGAAGGTCTAGCGACACAGGAATCCCTGGCCCTAGCCGTTTTTAAACACCAGTGACATTTCGCTCCTTGGGAGCCACTGCTATTAATAAAGCTCAGGATTCCGGGTGTCTTAGGGCCACTACAAAGCTCTTCCTCCTGCCTCTCTGACCCCATCAGCTCAAGCCCACAACATTTCTTAACGATTGCAATCCTCCCCCGACCTCCCCTCTCCTTCATTAAGTCTATGAGTGGGGTACGGCTGGATGATCACTACAACCACCACTTCTTATTGGCCACGGAGCATTAGGCCTCATTACTGTTAATTATTCATGCCCTGGTATAAAAGTCTCGGTTCAATCACCTCTTTAGGAAACTTCTGGTCTTTGCCTCGTCCTCAAGCTGTGACGTTCCCAAGGCTGTGCCAGGGTTCTTCTTGGCTAGGGGAGGAGCAGGGAACAGCTAAACCAGTGCCCCATAGAAGGATTAAGTTCTCAGATGACTTTCTACAGAACAAGAAAGCTGTATACTTGGGTTTAAATAACTTCAGTTCAGGTAACCTCCCTCCAAATGGAACAGCTTGATGTTGAGGAGTGCTTTACTTTTCCAAGTGTTATAAAGGTAACTTGCCGAAAGGCTTAGGATCATAGCATCTCCCTTGTCCTCTAGTTGTAGGGCCTCTCTATGTCTTACGTATATGTGTGTGCATATATATACATATATATATATGTATATATATGCACACACATACACACATATATGTATATATGTATATGTAAATGTGTGTCTATGTTTATATATGTGTATGTATACATATGTGTGTTTATATATATACATATATACATTTTATATATGTACATTATGTATATATATATATATATATATATATATTTGCTTTTAATATAGGTTGAGAAATGCAGATAGCACCCAACTTCCCTTCTATGGTTGAGTGGAAAGAGGATAACACTTCAGTTGCAGATTCATGGACAGGCAGTACCCTTACTGTACAATAGGAGACTGATTCCTGCAGGTTACTTGAGTAAAAAGGTTTAACTATCTCTTCCATGTTCATTCTATGGAAGAAGGGGAAGCAAAACACAGCAAAACAAAACAATCTGTTGGCTAGTCTGTACTCTACTTATAAGAATGCTTTAAAGAGATATTGGCCTAGATAGCAGTTTAGGAAAGAGTCCAGTTGTGGAAACTGCCTTCTGCCTATGGGGCTATTTCTGGAAGCCAAATGTTGGCATGGAGAGTGGGAACATTTTTCAAGAGACAATTCACTATTGCAGTCCATGGAGCTAACACATATATCAGAGAGTCTTCTTAGGAGGAAAAAAAAAACCCAGAGAAGCCTGGAGAAAGGATATTAGGGATGTTTTGAAGTAGACTGAAGTAGGCACAGATGGAAGACACTTGACTTAAGAGCTAGATTTTAAGTCAACCTTACACTAGTTTCACCTAAGATCTTATAAACAGAGGTAAATAATGTATGCACATTCACACTCCTTCTCTATCTGTATTCATAACACAGGCTAACCTTTGCAAGGCTATGCACTGTTAAGATAGAAGAATGCTTACTACACTACAAATGACCAGGTGACAGGTGACTTTCCTGGGAAAGTCTGATTTTGCTCTTGAAGTCAGGAGAAAACAAAATGAAACAAAGATAGGAGAATGTCCATTAATTTCAAATTAGCCTTTGGATGAGATGCTAATCACTAGTCCTAAAGGGGTAAATGAATATTAGTGATTGGTTGAGGTTATGATTTAGGGATTCAATAGGACCACTATTCTGTATTCCTATAAGCAACTCTATTTTTCATTAAAAAAAAAGAGAATTATTGATGCCTTTTGCTTTTATGTCACATCAGTTTCTGAAGACATCCCTTCCCCCAACCAGTGAACCTTCTCTTGGAACGATGATTTTTTTTTTTAAGGAATGATTACCAAAACCAATGCATCAACTATATCTGATGGCATGTAATGTATTCAATACCCATAGTTTTCCACCTTTTCAAAGAAAGGAGTGAGCTGTACAGCTCCTTTATGCAAGATGAACTGGACTGGACTGTATAATAGAATTGTTTTTGGTCAAAGTTTCTGTGGCAAATATTGTACTGTCTAACATTAGTTATCTTATGTTGTTTCTGGGTATTGCCAATGTGACCAAGATTGATTGACATAACAGGCTGATTATCTTCCTTGGCTTTGAACACATCTTTGATGCAAGGCAACCATTTTGCACTATGCATGTTTAGTTGAAAGGGAAACCAGGTTTCCACATGGTGGATGCTTAGTATAGAGGAAGTGATATTTCTACTCAATTTTGGGCTGACTGATCAGACCTCATCTAAACCATTATGTGACTTCTGGGCACCATATCTTAAGCCAATAAATTAAGTGCCAGATATTGTGCTAAGCACTGGGAATGTCAAGTGCAATCAAAAAGAAAGTCAGTCCCTGATCACAAGGAATTTACATTCTAATGAGTGAAGGCACATAAATTAAAGCTTAAAGTTTAGGGCAGTTAGGTGGTACAGTGGACAGGATGCTGGGCCGAGAGTCAGGAAGACTCATCTTTCTTAGTTCAAATCTGGCCTTAGGCACTAACCACCTGTACTAGTGACTCTTTGCAAGTCATTCGACCCTGTTTGCCTCAGCTTCCTCATCTGTAAAATGAACTGGAAAAGGAAATGGCAAAACACTCCATAATTCTTGCCAAAAAAACCCCACAAATGGGTTGCCAAAAGTTGGACATGACTGAAAAATGACTGAACAACAGAACAACAAAAATCAGAGAAAAGGGAGAAAGGGCATGGTATAGATCAGACAACAATGGAGGGATCTTTCAAATGAGAAGGCTGCTGGGGATTAGTGGGGGGGGAAAATGTCCAAAGCATCAGGAGTAGAAACAGGAAAGGAATGAAGGAATCAATGTGGCTAGTCTAGGCATTTTTTTTTAAATGAAGGCTCCAGGAGGGACTGGTCAATCAGAAGAAGGGGCCACAGGGAAAGAGTGATATTCTGCATCATATAAGAAAGAATTGAAGGAAATAGGACAGAAAAAAATCCCAACATGTCTATTGGCTTCAAATAATTGAAGGGCTGTCATATGTGTGAAAGAAACATTAGACTCTTTTTTTTCAGTATGACATTCACCAGAATTGGAATGATATTTGGAAGCTCTAGGAAGATTGAGTTTGGCTCAATATGGGGGAAAACATTTCCAAACTATTAGAATTATCCAAAAGTTGAGGAACTCCTGGGAAAATATCACTGGATGTTTCTAAATGGAGAATGATCATTGGTCAGAAATGTTGTAGAGAGGATTCCTGTATGTGGTAGAGTTCAGACTAGATGACATGTGAGGCTTCTTCTTTACACTGAGTCAATGTGTATTTTCTGAGATAATTTGATTTATGGTGCTGTTTTCTCCTGGTTTTACTATTGGTGCCTTCAATGGCTTGGTATGTTCCTCAGTCAAGTGACCCATTACTTCATTTGGAGATACAATGATGGCATATTACAAATATGTATGCATAGGGGGCAGCTAGGTGGTGCAGTGTATAGAACCTGAGTTCAAATTCTGCCTCAGA